CTCTGACCACCATCAGTAGGCAAGGTGGGTGAAGTGTCTTGCCCAAGGACACAACGACTGAGACGGCTGGACGGGGGATCGAACGCGTAAGAGTGGTGATGCCAAATAAATGCTATATCGGCCTGCCATAAAGTCAGCTTCTGCCCGCTGCTGCTGTGCTCATAGCAGAGACCGACAGTAACAAGATGGATTTATGACTGATTGAACGTCCACATCTTTTTATCCTCTCTGTGGGTAACAACACATAAAAAAACAAGTTTTTCCTCAGACAACTTGGGTCTGAAAAAAACACGCTTGTTAAAGCTTCGCTCTGCGTGACGTGCAGCAGGAGGGAGGAAATGATCCCGTGACACGACGGCACGACATAACTACAGCGGGAGGGGGAAATTTGACGATTTTCTCTCTATACGTGTTTTAAAACGCTATATTTCTTCATTTGTTTTCAGAATATTTTGAATAAATGGCCCAATGAAAAACTGAAGAAATGGTTTACCTGCCTGAATATGGGGTTTACCTGCACTGAGCAGTCGGGCAATAGGATCTGTCGAACCCTGCTCACGGGAACCTGGTCGCACGCGGGGTCTGTGTTGGTGATTCTTGCTGTAATATATAAAAGTATTTATTGATAAGGTAACCATGCTGTGGCTTCACCTGTCACATTTTCTTTTAAAGTAAAAGTAGCTCGCAAAGCTGTCGCATCAGTGCTACGTGGTTAAAAAAAAAGAGTTTTCATCGCGCGTCTAATCACACACACGCTCGTCTTTCTATCTTTGTGAGGACCACATACAGCGCTCACAGCCTCGCTCTGCGCCACCACCCCAGGATTAACCAAAAAACAGAGGGAATATTAAAGATGACGCAAAACAAAAACTTTGCAGTTAGTTTAAAAATATTGAACCACAGAATCGTTAAAGTAAGTTAATTCAGTTTGCTTTGTTTGATACGAGACATTCATCCATCATCTATAGGGGTGTAAGAAAATATCGATACACTGAAATATCGCGATACTTCATTTCCCGATACTGTAACGATATTCTAAAGCCCTGTATCGATTTTTTATTAAGGTTTAAAATGTCAGCTTTCCTGCCAGCCGTTCATTTTTATGTTGTAGTTCAGCCTCTGACCAATAGTTGGCAGCAGTGAGCCAGCCATTTGGCTCCTCTACCTCTTGAGGTAGAGGCTATTGTTAAGTGTTGGGTGTTTTGTAAATTAATATT